GCGTATTTAAAAAATAATTTCAAAGGGAATTAACATTTTTAATTGTTTCAACAAAAAAGAAAGGAAGGGACATGGTGGGGAACTGATTTTGGTTCTCATCAGATAATTTTTATGGCCTTTTTAAGATTTTTAGATAAAACTGTTTTAGTAAAATTTTTTGTTTTTCAAAAAAAAATTATGGTAATATGATGCCATGGGGGTATTCTAGTTGTTATTGGGGTGAGATTTTTCAGTGGGTAGTCTTTTTCTTAACCTTTTTTAAACCTTTATGAAGTATATGTGCAAGGGCTTTTCTTTAAAAGGCTGTCTGAGATAGCTCCCCCCCTCCCTCGCAACTATTCTCAGGCTTTAAGAAAGCTTGCACATATACTTCATAGAAGTTTAAAAGTAGAGAAAAGACTACACTGAAAATCACAATAACAAATAGAATACCCCATGCATCATATTACATTAATTTGAAAACAATTTGTTATAACAGGTTTATCTTCATCTAAAAGGAATAAGATATTTGATGAGACAAAATCCAGTTCCCACATTCCTCTTTCTTTTTGTTGAAAATATGTAATCTGAAATTATTTTTTAAATACGGAAATGCTAAAATAAAAAATCCCATGATCTGTTCCATAAAAAGTAAATATTGCTTTTCTAATGAAGAAACTACTGTTTAATCTCTACTCTCTTAACCTGCTGTATGGTTGGATTAACCCTTGCAGGACCTCAGAGCAATCTTCAAGTTCTTGAACTTCTCTTATAATTCAATTCACTCCTTTAGTACTCAAACCTGGGTTTTGCTTGGGGACAGAAAAAAGTTATTTGACTTACTACTTCAAAAGTGATGACAAACAATATGGTATTTAATTTGTAAACAAAATTGATGTGACAGATATCACTAAGTTCTGTAGAGATCTCAGACTGAAGACTATGATCATCATATCTACTCATCTTCACAGTTAACATGTTAAATCCAATAGTGGTCGCTAATGACCTATATGTTCATGTGATCTTAAAAAAAAAGTGACTTACTCTTTCCAGAAAAAAATTATGGAATAAGTAATAAAGGGCAAGCCACACAATAGAACTACACTAGAATCTTTCCATTTTCTGTTTATATTTGTAAAATAACAATAAAAAAGACTGACAGACATAACTGGCCATAAATTAATTACTAACAAAAATATCATGTATGGGTAAAATTACTTCATATATCATGTATGGGTAAAATTACAGTCACAATAACAATTTTTTTCTTCTTGTCAAAGACAGAAGACATTTTTATTGATAACATGTTATGTTTACATTTCTAAGAAAAATAACATTGAAAATTTTTCATTTTTAAAAATATTCATCTATTGGGGTTTACATAACGGAAAAATTTAGCAAATTTAGCACTATCAGCAGCTTTTGGCATAAATGGCAGCTCTAACTGTTCATGTGTTTTTTTTCACATTAATTGGGCTTGTGGCATTCAGTTACAGTCAACAGTCAAACTAATTAGAAATATTCCTTTGATAAATCTCCATTTAAAATTTGATATAACATGTGAGAATCAATAGGTCAATTTAGTTATTGAATTTACCTGTAAGACACCAGTCTATAGTTCTAGGTTCTGTGTCCATGCTGTTTTACATGCGTCACTTGAGTCTGGATGAACCAAATGAGTTCCCTTTTGCTTCAAGAAACCAGGTGTTATTTTTTTTCTCTTGAAAATAGTATCAGTTATTTCCTGAATGTTCCAGCACCTGTTATCCTTTGACTTAACAAAAAAGTGGTTATTTTAGATACTGTTTCTACAGTCATATACCTTTTGAACTATCATTCAACATCCGCAGATAGCTTTCATTTTGGGGACCAAGTTGAAGCACATTTAATTCCATTAAAATCAATGTTGAAAGAATGAACTACTGCAACTCTGTTACTCACTCCACCAACTCTATTGCAGCAATCCAGTTTGAGCAATTGATGAGTTGTTGAGTAATCAAATCAGCCTTCAGTTTCTTAAACCTCACTGATGAAAATGAATAAATCTCTTACCCAAAAAGGGAAACGAGATGTGAAGGAAGGACTGTGAATGCAACATTGAGAGAGTATATTTGTGATGGGATTCCCTTTCCCATGGCAAGACAAAGAAAGTTGGAATATCAGTTGTTTCTATAAATTTGATGAATTTGTAATGCGTCACCAGCTATGCTTTGCACATGGATGTAAAATCAAAAGTGACTTGCAGAAGCAGTGTCATGCTGATAAGTTCAGTGAAGACCGACCAGTGACATTAAACCAACCAAATGTTCATATCTGCAAAGGCAGACAACGAACAATAGGAAAGTTAGAGGCTTGCTTGACAGCAAGGGCTACTGGCTACGAGAGTATCTAGTCACTTCTTTCTTGAGCAGGTTCTCGATGCAAGAAGTTTCCACAGGCTGCAGGTCTCGTGTACAAACAGAGAACACTCAGCATTTGATTTTTTCTTTTCATTTCTATTTTTCTGTCTCTGTTTTTGTTTCAATTCAATTCATGCCTCATTTTTCCATGGCGAGGCTCATGCCATCAGACCTGCTCTTCTCCCTGTTCGTACAAATTCCACTATGCTCCTTTCACCATCTATGAGAGAAAGGAAGCATCCCTCAGGCAATGAAACTGGCATTTCTTTAAAATTTTTATTTTGCTCCAAGGTTTCTTTTAGGCTTGAGGATCTTTTACAGAGTATAAATCTATGACATGGAACAACTGGCTTTACTTTCCTGAAGAAAGTCTTACAAAGGGTTTTTATGCCCTTAAAAATTCACAGCCTTGATCGGATTTGAACCCATGAACTTAGGTATAATAGTCCAATATACTAACCATTACACTATCAGAGGCATTTTTTGGGCTTCCCTTGCATTTTAACATTTGCAGGTTCCTCCTCACTGCAGGAGTCCCAGAGCAGTTGGTCCATGCTTAATTCAGGATTGATCAGTTGGCAACAGAATTTTTCTTTAAATAACATTATGTCTTAACCTTCCTCACTGAGCTGACATATGACTTGTTTTCATTATCACTGTTGAAGACTGGTGTTCTTACTGCAATTTATTACAGCTGATATGATTTATTTGGTTCAATTTAGATAAAAATAACATCTACAAAAAAGTCCTATAACTTGAGATGCACCTGCTGTGTTATTTCCTAATACTTTTACAACAAAAATGAAGTATTCTGAAGATTTGTTAAAAATACATACAAATTCTATCTCCAACAGTTGGCATGAAAGGTGAAGGTATGGGATACTTATAACTTTATGCCATTAGTACAGCAAAGTTAAATTAACATTTGTGTTGACATAAGTATAATGTTTTTAACCTTGTACAAATTTGTACAACCTATATTATTTTGTTGATCAAATCCTACGGAACTCTGCGAATTACAACTTGTGGATATCTGAAGCAAAAGCAGGTAAATAAATAATTAAAAATGCTTTCTTTTTTTATTTTTTATTTTATGAGGCAACAGGGTTTGGTTAACAAAAATAACAACTGTACATTAAAATACAAGCCTATCTCAACAATTTTTCATGTTCTTTTTCAGGGCGTTCCTTTCATCGGAAGTCCTAGCTTCTATTGACATTCACCTTAATTACATTACTCAGATTGTACAAAGTAAAGATTTTTTCTAGAAATGCATCTAGAATTTCTATATACTTTTTACAGAGAGCACAAAAATTAACAAGGAACTATAGATACATTCAACTAAAACATACAAGTAAGGAACATCTAGACTGTGCCCCACTTTAAAATGAGGCAGCAATTTTAATGCCTTATGTATTACAATGTAGGTGTACAAGTTTATTGGAATGTCATCAAATGAAAGACTAACTTTGTACTACAGACTAGGAATGTGATAATGACTTCTTGACTACAACAAATATATCAATGAGCAACACAAGAACTACGTTTATTTTTCGGTAGAAGGGAGACGATCACCAGTTACCACATCAGGGTATAGTTCAACAGCCAGAGTGTCCAAAAGTATATACACCAACTGTAAAATGATTTAAAGACATGAGCAATAAACATTCAGAATACAATTTTAGAACATCGTTATGAGAAGTGCACAATGTTTGTTCATACTTGTTTGTTCAATGCAGGATTTTGAACTGCTGAGAACACGGTCTGAATTCCTTCAGTGTATTTGGAGCCTGCCCATCGAGTTAGCCAATGCGGCAGAAGTCCCTGAAGAAGGGTCTGTGTACGAGCAGCCCGAGCTGCGAAGTCTTGAGCAGTAGGAGGATTTCCTTTTGGAGAGAAGATGACCCCTACGGCAGTATTCAAAATGCTATTAATTCGAACAAAATCTAATTCATGGTACATAATATCTTTTCCTTTCGATCATTACCTTGTAATAGTCGAACCAAATGAGCTAATCTTGGTGCCACTAGCAGCTTTTTAAGTTTTCTATCAAGATAGAACCAGCACAATGCATTGACAGTATTATGTGCCATGGCACGAATAGCTAAAGCCAATCGAACAAATGTAGGAGGGGCTCCAAACACTTTAACCGCTAGAATTCAAAATAAAGGAACAACATTAGCGGTACTTAATCTTTCAACGCTTTTCTTATAATTTATAGAATTACATTTCCCACCAACGATTACTTATTGACAAGGATTTTAAAAAATATTAACATATTAATATCAATGTCTAGCTTGGTTGTAAGGAGACATTAAATTTTAGTAAGTTTTAGTAAGTTCCCAAGGATATTGCATAATAATTCACATGGTTATTCTCTTAATTTGATGCAAAAGCTTCTAGTTTGTGAAAAAGCATGAAACAAATGCTGAATAATGCCCTTTTTTAATTGCCAATATCAATCAGAATTTTATCTCTACCAATATTTATTTACTGCCTGTAATTTATTTATTCAGAAAAGATGAGACAAATAAATAATAATATCCAGAGGCGGTGAAGATGAATTCTACTATTGCTGAAGTCAAAGGAATTCTGCATACAAACTGCAAGTGACAACTTTTAAAACAATAATATTAACTTACTCAAGTATAATATACAATCAAAGATTCCTTGGATAGGCACATTCATCACAGTAGTTCCGGAAATAGCAAAGAGCAGCTGATTGCTAGGTACTCCAAAATTGTCCCCATAAATGCCTTTGGTTAAACATCTTATTCTTCTAGGAGTGTCAGTTGCAACATCTTTCCACTCAAATTTTCTGCAATATTACAAAACAAAATTATCAAAGCAAATGAAAATGAAATGAGATCATCATATTAATTATTTTTTTTAAATTACCCTTGTACACTAAAAATGCTCAATAGTCAATACAATTAAAAGCCTAGCAATACATTTCTTTTGAATATGCTATATAATTTAAGGTAACTGATGAAAATAGTAATACTGAATTCTGTCATATGGATAATCTTCAAAAGACTTCTCATTTTTAAATAATTCACGCATTAAACAAAACTTTGTTGATAAAGAAAGAGACTATTAACAAACATACGTATTTTTGTTACCACGGCCACCTTCTGTGGAAGTCAGAAACGTGCTGAGGAAGGTATCTAAATGTTGCCCCCTCTCTTTTCGCAACCTCAATGGAACAGATCTTCGAATCATGCGCCCCAAACCTTCTGGAACTGCAGCAATGCCACCACTTGCTGGTACAAATTCAGCTGGAGATCGTAGGAAAGAATAGAGGAGATCACTTCCACGTAAATTAGGTTTTTGTAAAAGACGCTGAAGAAAGTCTTCGAAGTACTGTAAAACAAAAATAAAATGACATTGAGTAAATAAAAAATTGAAAAAAAGAAATCAGTTGAATTCTTTTTTCAATTTAAATAGCAAATAATAAGGAAAAAAGAAAAGAAATTAATTTCATATTCTGTACTGTGTTAACTTTGTTATACCAACCAAACGTTTGGATTCCATAAATTCCACTCCTCGAGGTCCAAACAAAATCCTCTTTGGTGGAAGATGAATATCAAATTCCCCATGAAATTCAGTAAGTTTACTCTCCAGAACATAAAAGTCATTGTATTTTCTTTCAACTACCCAATGGTATGATTCTGGATCATCTGTATAAAGTTTACAAAACATCAGTATGTCTAACAGTATGCAATTTACAAAATTTCTGAACCATACTAGTAGCGTTACCTTCTGAACGAACGTCAATTCTCTGTACATTAATTATATATACTGGGACAGCCTTACTATTAATATCTTGGCGAGTTTCTACAGATGGAATTGATACTCTCCAAGCACTTAAATCTCTGTACGTTGTAGCTTCTTCAATAGGTAAATCTTCAGCCTAAACATTCAATTTGCACATACTGATTAATATTGAATTCATAAATTGATTGATTGATTAATTAACTAAGATTACAATCAAAGCAATATGATATAGAATTTCCATTTGTGATTTTCCCCTTGCTTATATTAGAAACTACCAGAATCCGAGCGATGTTGTTTTGCCCTACATTTCCCTTCTCTATCTTCATTCCACCCTCCCACTCCCCACTTCTGAGCTACTGGACAAATCAACTGGGCTATTTCAATGAACACTATATTCAACTGTTATTTTTGTTTTTACTTCTTGATAGTGTTCAACAATTTTATTACCTCACTGCATTTTAATCCTAAAGCATAACTACGCTCTATGAAGTGATGGCAGTTAAGCAATTTGAGACTACAGATTCCCAGATAGGTGAAGAAGTAGTGACCCAGTAATTAATGATGCTGAGCTCTTGGCTGAAGGGATAAAAGGCATTGACTGACTATGACACAAATGACAAATAATTAATGGAGGATTACTTCAATGTTCAGACACTCAATGTCCAAAAAAGAGCTAAAGAGAAGAGTTGTGTAAAGGACGCAACAAATTTAAATAATATCATTCACAAATTAATCTTAACATTCTAGTTTTCCCAGTACTGGCAAATGGAAATCGATAAGAGTTCTCCATTTTATGAATACATTCCTTCCAAGTCGTGTTGACTTGTATACCAATTACTCACAAAATCAGTTTCTCCCAAATCCAGTCCAGGATCAGTAACATCTGTCACATCATACGTGTGTCCTTCGACAGGTTGGGTTCTCAAAACACCTTTGATTTTGTGCAATCGACTACTAAGACGTGCTACAGCACCTCCTTCATTCCACTTCTTATTTGATCTGAAGAAAACATGCAACCAAAATGATTTTTCTTAAACACTAAGACCCTTTTGACATGTACTTCACAAATTTTGTCACGTTATGATGAATGAAAATTATTGTAATAAAACTCACTATAAATGCATTTTATTCTTAACATTATTATAAAGTAATATTAGTGTCAGTAGAGCAGATTTTATGACAGAGGATAATACAATAGAGAAACAGCATAAGATACATTCTAAGCCAACACACTCCAGTAAGTTGTAGGAAGCCTGACCATCAATAAGAAATTAAAAATTAAAACGAATAATCAGCTGTACAATTTCTACATGCTTAACTCAGGAATCTGTTGTGTTCAAATGACACCCATTTTAAATACGCAATTTGATGAGCTTTTTGTTTAATTGGTTATGGACATGAAGAAATGAAGATGTGAGAGGGGTAACATTAATAAAAAAAATATAATTTTTAAAATTTAAATCCACAACATGATGTGTTTTAAATATTGGTTAGTTTGAATTGTTTCAGAGTGTTATTCTGCATACATGGTATCTTTTTATTACTACAATACCATACATTACTGAGATACACTTACTTGTAATGTTATTTTTAAAACCTGTATTTCACAGCTTGTATTTCTTGCTCTTACTCATTTTTAAAGATAATCAATAATCGTTGTGTGAAAATCTGTTGGACTGTGGTTGCACATATTCATTAAATAAGTAAATACAAACACTAACATTTATATTTTACAATGTTGTAATTATTGGCTGTAGTGATATATAGACCAGACAGAAAACTAGTAATCCCCTCAAGTCCCTTATGCACCTGGCAACGAGGTCTCTAGCACTCTATGCTGACAGCCAGCGGCACTTTCTCAGTATTTTTGTAGAGGGTATTATTAAAAAAATGATTGTTTTTAAATCTTAATAATTCTCAGTGTTATGACCAAATCTAGACTTCATTAAGCTTTATGTTTTGGCTGTAAGCATATTGTTACGTTCTATTGCAAGAAAACCATGTTTTTTATTCTGGAGTCACGGAGAAAGAGTTTTCAAAAATTATATTATACAAAGATGACACACACTTAGAATGTAGAACAAATAAGTGCGAGATGTGACAAACAAAAAAAAACAACTGAGGGCATTGTTTAAACATATGCACACTAGCAGGCGATGGCTCAACTCAGGAGGAGTAACAAAACAATCTCCCTCTTTTCCTTGGGAAGAGCATGATTTATCTTGAGAAATGCCTCATTTGGGAAATGAAAACGCTGCCATACTTGAGTTTTTATACAAGAACCCTCAGTTACTTGAAAGAAACATAATAAAATAACTATTTATTTTAACAACTTGTTAAAAGTGATTCAAATAGATGATGTTTTTAAAAACATTTGATTTAAATCATTGACACACAATCTGAATCCTTTTGCCTACTTTATTTACAGACGAGTGGCATTATGCTAAAGATGAGTGATGAGATGCATCATAAATAGGTGCCCAAAGCAAACAAGACCTCAAGGACAGGGGCCTCTATTTCAAAAAAGTTCAATCCATCCCCTGCCAACATGTAAACAGAATTCATTTCTCTGTGCAACAAAAATAATTTATAGCAGTTAATTTGAACCAGAAGTGCCATATTTATCCAAATATAAAATTAGTTTTTTCCTAAATATCTTGGCTGAAAAATACGGGGTCGTCTTATTCTCAGATTAGACCTAGATGGTTAGTGTTTTAAGTTTTTAATTTGTCATTTCATGTCATGAAACTCTTTAATATTGACATAGAAGTTAACTGCAACGATGGTAAAAATATCTACCAAAAATACATAACATTATATTCACGGTCGTATTCTCTGCATCCACCATGCATTTGACAGGTAATTCAGATCAATACTTTTTTTAATGGACTGCTTAAGAGACAATCTCAAAGAAATGGCATTGTATCAAATGAAACAATGTGAAAATGAATGCCAAGATTTTGATACAATGCGCTTTTGGAGAGGATGTGCAGATCTTTGTTTTGAACTGTTAAAGAAACAGAGGCCATCAATGAGTGTGGGACAGATAGAAAATCTGGTGACACAAAAGGGAATGTTCTTAGGTAGCATGTGATGAAAGAATAAGAATAATGCAAATTCAATGCGCAAAAATTTCTGAGTAACCTAAAAAGTCAGTCATTGCAGCATGAAAGGAGGACCAAACTAATGGTGTTGCACAATGACAGAGACTTTCCCCTATTGGTTTTCTATTTCTTTTAGTCTGGACTAGCTATATAAACTTGCCACATCCTCTTGCCAACTTCCATCTATCATCGCCCAAAGTACATTTTTTTTGAATTTTTCTTAATTTTTCGGTTTTCTAATAGAAGAACGGTAATATTATTATAAGAATATTAAAGAACAAAAAAACATTGTCCAAAAAGGAAAAGAAATTTGAGTTTACAAAACACTTCGTTAGAAGTCGTTTGAACCACTTTTAACTCACAAATACAATAGTGTTTACTATTTACTGAAAATATGCATATTAACGGCACGAATGATCTTTCTCAGAAATTAAATTTGTGTACGTTTTGAAGGAAAAAAAAACAACAAACAACACATTTGAGCATTTCTGAAAACTAATTATGAGCTAAGTTTTAATGAGCACTGTTGAGTTTTTTTAAAAATTTTATAAGACATCATTTAAAGCACATATACTCAAAAATATAATATTGTGAACAAATTGCCATTCATAAAAAAAACACAAAAATTTTGTACAAAAACTACTAAAACGTTCAAAAGAATCTACATGACCTTAATAAAAGAACTCGCAATGGAGAACAAATTTTATTAGAAGGAAAAATATGTCTTCAATTTTGTGGTTGTAAGACAATGAACAAAAATTTTCAAAAATTGAGTGTTGACCCTGAAAATTGGAACTGTGCCACCCTTATAAGTGTTCTTTACTCCATTGTTACAAGAAATTTAAAGTAAAAATTTTGAGCCATTTTTGATAAATTTTGAAAATGTTTGGGGAGCTTCATATCAAGTAGCCCCCAAATTTTGACGAAAGTTTTTCAAAATCGCAGCACCTCAATTTCTGCCAGATCAACCAGGGAATTTTGGAAAAAGTCCTATGTACGGTTTGGCTGCTAAAAGTGTTCAGAGACAGACAGGCATACAAACGTCTTCAAAGAAAAACACTATTTCGGTATCAGGGGTCCCCAAAACATATTTCCATAGTAATCTCAAAATTGATTTTCTGCAGCATTATGTATCTTTTCCAATAACCATATATTACTACGTATATTACTCTTCTTTTTTTTCAAGTCTTGAACACTCAATGGGTTTCATTTAAACATTACTCATATTGGAATAGTAATTGCTTTCTTTTAGAGTAGGGAATAGTTCACATTACCTTCCTTTAGCAGGAGATCCTTGCAGCATAGGAGAACTATTGAACACATTTTGGTTAGTATTTCATCATGCAAAGCAAGATAGTTAGTGAATAATAAACCTAGTTATGTTATCATTAGGAGATATACCTGGACCCACTTTTGCTGTACCCTGTAGGTAACCGTTGACCACACAGCAAAGTGAAATACTGAAAATAAATTAAGAGTTATTAAAACACTACAAGGATAAATCAATACCAAACTGCATCAAAATTTACTCACATCATCACTTTGGTGGAAAAGAGGACCCAGAACGTTCTCTAATTGACTAAAAGCATATTCATATGCTTGAAAAAGAGGTGGGGTTGTACGAAGCTTGACGATGTTCTCAGCAGGTTCCTGTAAAACTGGCAATTTCATAATATTATTTGCAATATTAAAATAAATTGTAATAGAAGAGGTATGATTTGAGTAAAATAATGAGCTCTTATTAATTATTCTATATTTTTTTTTAAAATACAAGTGCTTCATGTATAATTGTGAATGTTGGGTGCATTCTTCCTTGTTTGCAAGTATTAAAATCCTATACCAGCTGCATTTCTCGAAAATTGCTACACATTCCTTGTTAGTGCCTTAAAGAGCTTGTTTACTGACACATCAATAAACTGTCAGGCAATCACAGCCATTTTAGTTTACATTAATTCTTGATATTTTGCACTTTTAATGAAAGGGCTTTTGAAGCGACGGAGAGCACACAAAAGCGGTTTTCTTTCACAATTCCTCAGATATTTATGACATACATTTTTTGAACTGGATTTTCAATATTCTCCTTGCATCTTATTTATAACTTAATTTGAATTTTTTCTTTCTGAAACACTTTTCTTTCAATGATGACCATTTGTTCCATTTGCACAACAGAAGAACATCAAAATATTTTGTTTTACCTACTTTTTACAATAGTCACAAGAGATCTCTCTTTTAATGCATGGTTTTACTAATTGGCACCTGAATCAGGAAATCATCCTTATTGTCAACTGAGAACTTACTTCTCAGATGCTATTAACTTTTATTTTCACATACTGCTTATTTCCCTTCATAAAATAAGAGTATGATTAAAAGTCACCAATATTATACTCTGTTCTTCTCATAATTCTTTTACCTTCATCATATTTAAATTTGATTGAAACAAAAAAAGCATTTTAATCCTCCTCTAGTATTCTTTCTTCTTCTCTATCATTGCATCAAGTCTAGTTAACTTACAATTTTATTTTCCAACAGTCTCCACAAGTTATATTACAACAGTAAGTGCAACTAATATGACAGTTTCTTGCAGTATTATTTGGCATAAGAACACCAAAATTTGAATTATATAAATAAATCATACTTTTAATAGGATTACTCACTAGTATGCATCTCCTGAACAACAGCTGAGTTAAATGGAATTCTATCAGGAGATTTGGGACTGAAGTATACAGAATATAAGTCCCATGCCTCTTTGTACAAATTATCCAAATCTTGTGAATTGAGTTCTGGGACCAGCATCTTCCTATTGAATTCCTCTGTAAAAGTAACCAAAATAATATAGCACCTCTGTAAAAGTACAGCCATAATAATATAAAAACAAATACTAAAATTAATATTTTAAAATAAAAAATGAACTGACATTATACGTGTCAATCTGAAAGAAATCATTTTAATTAGATTTAATTAAGATTCTAGTATAAAAATTTTATTTTAATTTTGTAAATCTGTTACAATTTATCTTAATGCTTGATTTCTAAAGAACCAGCTGAAACAAAATTTGTTCCATGTTAACATCTTACCAACATCCAGACAGAACTGCAAAACATTGACATATCCTTCTCCTTTCAGAAACTGCATGAATGGATACAACAGCTCTTGGTCTTTAAGAACACCAGAAATATCCAAGCGCAGAGCCTGAAAATAACCAGACTTGACAGTATTTCCAAAATGGATTCACTAAAATATATTTCTTAACATCAGCAAAGAGATACATCTTGAACAAAAGGTCTTGACCAAAAGGCTTGACTCACGGTCTGAAAATTAGAAGTAGTCTACTAAGTTTTGAAAAATTGAAAAGAAATCTAATTAGCAAGAATGCTTCTTAAACCTAGAAATATTAAATGAAAAGTCAGAGGATAATCTAAAAATGATTTTTGGATGGTTTAATTATAATTATATACAATTTGTAAGATATTATGATCAATAAGACAATAAGAGCAGCAGTACTGAGAGGAGATAATTTTAATTTTGATTGCCAATTTTGTATAAATGATGAATGAAAGATCATAAAAGAGATAAATTACTTCATTATTAAGATTTCCAATCAAAGGGGTCACATTTAAAATAAAAAAATAATTATACTTAATATTTAAAATCACCAAAATTTCCTTTCCTCAAAAGATATGAGTGTTCTACTTTTTGTAAAAACTATATTTTTTTAACAATTTATAGTTTATATTGTAATCCAAATGCAATGGCTGAAGTAACTCTTTAGCAGTCAAATGTCATTTTATTTTTTGTTATTTTTTCAATTTCTGAACTTACTGAATTCCGGGATACAGGAACTGATACAAATCGAGCTAAGAACTCTACCCGTGAAGGTGAAGTATTTGGATACTCTGTGAGAGTGTTTCTCTCAAGTAGCAATAGAAGAAGACTGTTAACAATTGAGGGATCTGCAAGAACGTCCACCAACGGAAGCAGCACCCATCCTGCTAAGATTTCCCGCACCAGTGTGCTGTAATTTCTACAAAAAGAAGAAAAAAAGTTAAATTAAAATACAAATAAGTTACAGATGATTAGTTCTGATTAATTTTTTTCACAGATGCAAATTACAATAGAATTTTAAATCACACTGAAATAAATGAAAGGTCTTTTTCAAATATTATTTACAGTATATTTAATATATTTCATTCATTGGACACAAATCAGAGGTCATGGGAAACAAAATACAGAGAAAACACAGATTATATGGACTAATGAAACAACATTTTTGGAAGGGATATGACTGAAGATTTTAAATAAAGTATACATAATATGATTTCAAAATCAATATTCATATATGGATCAAAAGTTTAGACAATGAAACCGAGGGACTGACAAAGACTGGAGATCCTGCACATAAGATTTCTATGCCATCTCACAGGAGTCATGTTAAGGAATTAGTGAAGAAGTAAAGATACTACAAAAAGGATTAAAAGAAAGAATATATTAGAAGAAATAAACGAAGCTCAGAGGAGATAGTTTTTTCGTATCAACAGAATGAAGCCAAAACAAAGAGTCCAAAACATGGCATTGAAGTATAAACAATTACGGCTAAGAGATAGGGGAAGATCACAAAAGAGATAGTTAGATCAGAACAACTGAGGACAAAAAACCTACCAGATCAACTACTGGGAAATAGGATTAGGTGACATGCCTCGCAATATTATGATTTTAAATTATTTGCACCAATTTGATTTAGAGAACAAAAGAAAACATTCAGAAAATGTTTAGTTTTGGTGTAAGTTATGACGTTGAAGATATTTGGAGTAAATAAAACTTCATAATTGATCCCCTTTAACAAAGAAAAAACTTTTATAGTGAATAATTTATACTGTGACTTAATAAATCAAGACACAAATATGTCAGAACAAAAAGCACACAAAATACTAAATCACTTCTGGATGAAAGGTGAGAGCAACAAAGAATATTGTAGACAAAGAAGCAAGAACAAATTTAAAAAGTATTAAAAAACATTAAATATGTTTAACATTTAAATATATTTTAGAGTATAATTTATTATGAATATGTGTAATATATATTTTGGAGGAAAATTTTAACAAATAATTATTGTTTGATTTTATAAAATTGGTTCACATTTTAACAAAAAGGCAAACACACAATATCTGAAAGATGGAAATTAATGATTTGATTTGATATGAGTGACTAAGGTACTTGACAAATTCCATTTATAACAGAAATATAATTGACTCAGCATTAACTCAAAATTTATGAAAAATATTAATTTATTTTAACAATTTATAGAAGATAACTTCTTTAATTTATTATAATTTTAATTTAATTTGTTAATATGATAATGATTTAGTATAAGATTAAATAAAAGGAAGTATTTCAGCAAATGTTGAAAGATTTCAAAAATGAATATAAAATCACATAACACTACACTATGAACCCCCTATCCCTATGTAATGCCGCATTATGCTGCCTCAGACCCCTCTCTGCCTCTTCAGCGTTACGTAATTTATGGAGACCCCCAAGTGTATATAGTTATGGAATTCCAAACTACAAAACAAGGCACAGTGAAAAATAATATCAGAAATCACTGACACTGATTCTAAAGACTGCAAATTCAAATGAATGCCTAAAAATGGGAGGGCAGTCTAAGTAAAGTAAATATGTTCTGAAACACAAAGAGCACACTGGTATTTAGCAAAAAATGGATTACATAGATCAGACGAGACTGTAACTATAAAGATGACTGGACACACTGGTGCTGAAAATCGAATCAGCCATTCGACACTAGTGATAGACCACTGAAAAAGCAAGATTAAATTTAATCTAATAGTTAATTCTGATATCAAAGGTGTGAAATGATAGATTTCATTTTTCATTTGAGGGGCTGGTTGACTAGGTTGAGGCAAAAAAAATAATCAAAATTGTGCAAGAAATAATAAGTTCACTCATGAAATAGTATAAACATCTTTTCCTACTATCATATAAAAAAAGCCTATATTATAAATCACAGATTGCTGTATCTAAAGTTTTCATGGTTTTATCCACTGTTCACAATTATAGAACTCCATTTGCACAACATTGTGAGGCAATGATAAATATGAGGGAGATATAGAGGTAGCATATGTGAGGAGTGGTGATTTGTGTTGAGGACAGGCAGTAAGAATGGATATTAAGGACAGGCTGCGAGGATGGACTACGAGGACAGCCAGGAAGGGCAGGATATGAGATTATCTGAAAGTCTTTTTTAAACTGAGACATCACAGTGAAAGTGAGAAGTCTGTTCTGTATCGTGGCATCATGATCTTCAAATGTTTTAAAAAAAGACCAACTTCACACATGCTTGAAGGCACGCAGAATGGCTCAGTTTTAAAGGATTACAGAAATACATTTCATTGAGTGCTGATGTTTTCCTTCAAAATGAACTCTCAGAGATATGAAGCATGTAATACACGATGTGAAGATGGAAGATGGAGGAAAAATTCTTCTTTGAAAGTAGAATCTGACACCACGATTATCTCTGGTGTAGCCAACAGAAAGGAGTTTAAATTGTAATTTAAATATTTCTTGAAATAACCCAATAAAAAAAATAAAAAAATCAATAATTTGCACATCATCTTTCAGCATGATTTCTTTCCTCTCTGCTTACACCAATTAAAATCCATATAAAACCTAGGTTCTCAAACAACTACATAGCACTATATAAATAACTATTAAATGTATTGAGTCAGTACCGGCAAGCAAGTTGATGTGCAGGCAAAAGCTGGGGCATCAGTAGAGATGTAAGTTTACGAAGGTATTCTAATTCATTTTCTCTATTGCGAGCAGCTGGATGAAGGCGAGGGCCAAGGTATTGCAGAGCTGCCCTATCTATAGGCAAGTGTTGCTTGCGACTTAGTCTTAAACTGCCCAAATAATCATCCAAGTGGCTTAATCCGGCTGGTATCAACTTATTTGTAACAACATGTGCCAAATCCAACTGCATAAAAAGAAAATTAATGTAAAAGTCAATAACAAATTAATGTATTCGTTTCTTTAGAATAACTGATACTCGTAATTGTGTTTCTTACTTGAAGTCCTCTTCTTAATAAAGCTGATGCAGCATGACGGATGCTAAGACGTAATTCCAAGACAAAATTCTCATCAGCTGACAACTGACGGTACCAGGTGTAAATAAATTCATCTAATATCTTGTTAAGAAACTAAAACAAAAATGATCTCGAGTAAAGAACTGTAATATAAATGAACAAACAAAGGGGTAAGATAAAACTCTCTAACATCTTCAATTGCTTCATCCAGTTCTTCAGGAACATCAAGATCAACCCATGGTTGTTGAGAATTAGATTTAGGTTGATGCCGGTTACATTTTCCATCACCACAAACATGGCATTGTTTATGTTGTGATGAGGATGAATTGCATCTCTGTTTACCAATCAGAAGAGATAACAAATTTGGTGCCTCAGATCTGTAACTGTTTTAAAATTTATTGATACAAACATCATGTGGCATAATCTTATTGAATAACTTACAGATTTTTGTTTCTTCCAAGACAAACCTGAATACCGTGCTAAACGCGAAAAATCCTCCGACATACGCCCCAAGAACAATAATACCAGACAAAAGACTGAAAATAGAAAAATTAACCGGTCAAGAAACACTAAAGCCATGCATTACATATTCATTTAATAACCACAAAACAAAAAGGTCCACTACATACACGACTGTGACGTAGAACACTCACCTTAAAGAAACTGTCAAGAATAATGATACAACCAGAACCGATAGGGCACATGTTCGAGATAGTCTGTCATTCCAAAGCAGAAATATTACTGTTTTTATTTGCGCTTGATCCATGACTTTCATCAAATTGTCATTGCAGCTTATATTTGTGTCTCAATTATACCTTCTTCACATTCACAAATTCCACTTTACGGACGACGAACATTGTTAGGAAAACAGAACGTAATACTTTCTATTTACTTGAATCAACATCTGTCCTAGATGTGTCCACAGCAGATCATCAGACTTGCATCAGGCCTGATCCAGGCCGAATATGTGACATCTCTCAAAAGCAGCCAATGCTAGAAGCGAAACCACTGACGTTTGTCCATTGTCAGGGCGCGAAATTTCATTTGTATTCAAGAAATCTAATGATTGCAATGAATCTTCAACGAGAAATATCGGGTATTACGGGCCAGTGGAAAATGTAATTCTTTCCTTATTTTCCTGCACAGAAAAATAAACAGAAAATGATCATGGACACATCAGTTTGTTGGTAGTGTTACTGTATGTTACTGTTGAGTGTTAATTAGTGATTTAATTGCAAATGCTACTTTTACTTTCCCGTATGCGTACGTATATACGGAGATATATACAAAGTTTGGGGAAGTTATGTAATGATGCGTAAAAATGATTTCGAGTTTTCAACGGAAATACATTTTTGGGGCCCCCTGATACCGAAAAAGTGTTTTTTCCCTCCCAAAACGTCTGTTCGTCCATCTATATTTGAAGAACACAGCGCCTAAATCACATGAAGATTTTTTGAAGAAATTGAAGAAACTCCTGACCAATTGGCCTGAGTCAAAGCTCTGCGATTTTGAAAATCATTCATTAGATTTTTCTGGTTAATTTACATGATGCCGTGGGACACTCAAAAGTTTTTCAAAAATGGCTCCAATTTTTTTCTTTAAATTTCTTATAAGAATAGAGTAAAAGGCACTTATAAATGTGACATAGGTCCGATTTTCACGGTTAAGTCTGAATTTTTGAAAACTTGGAAAGTTAGAATTTTTTCGGGGTCTTCCTAGAACAACAATATTAAAGATAAAGATTTTTCTTCAAATAAAATTTGTTTTCCATAATTTTCTTCTTTTATTAAGATCATGTACGTTTTGTTGAAATTTTAGCAGTTTCCGCGCAATATTGCGTACAATTTGGTCAATTTTAAAAAAATTACTGAAACAAGACTTTTTCATAAACCGCTACAATTTTTTTCTTTAAACTTTTGGTAGGGATTGTGCTAAATGCACTCCATAAGATGACATAAACGCCATATTACTCTATTCTTTTGTTTTTTCAAAAAATACAAAAATGTGTTTTTTTCGATTTTTTGTCTTTTACGTCATTAATACTCACATTAGCATTTTGCTTACACTATTATATTTATGAGTACATGTGCTTTAAATGATGTCATTTAAAGCCTCAAGGAAGTTCATTTTCTATCAAAACTAGCTCGAAATTCCGCAATTTCAAAAACGCTCAAATGCCATTTTCTCAAAAACGGCACCAATTTTTTTCTTCAAACTTTTTGAACGGATAGTGCTAATTTCACGCTTTAATATGACAAAGTTCATTTCGGGGTATTTTTATGTTAAAAAACACACTAATGTATAATGACTCCAAATGAAATTTTTCGAAAAAACTTTCTGTGAAAAAGTCCTTCAAATTTTGTTTATACTGTACCGCTTAAACGCCATTTTCTTAAAAACTGTTCCAAATTTTTCAAAGAAAATTGCCAGTAAGGAGGCGGTTATACTGTTCTTTAATATTCATAATATTTCCGTCTTATTATTAGTAAACCGAAAAATTAAAAAAATAATATATATATATATATGTGTATATATATACATATATACACATATATACACATATATATACATATATATATATATATATATATATATATATATATATATATATACATACATATATATATATACATACATATATATATATATATATATATATATATATATATATATATATATATATATATTGGGCGGCGATATATGGTAGCAGGCAAGAGTTTGTGGCAAGTTCAAATAGCTAGCTGAGACCAAGGGGATATAAAACTTTAACGGGAAAGTCTGTGCCGTACTGTAGCATCACTAGTTATTACTGGTTTACTTTCTCGTACACGTACGTATACGGAGTAATATGCGGAGTATAGATTAGTATAGGATAGAAGTTATATAATGCTGCGGAAAATCAATTTCGAGATTTGAAAGGAAATGCACGTTTTAGGGTCCCTGATGCCGAAAAAATGTTTTGTTTTTTCTTCTTCAGAACATCCGTCCACCTGACGTTTGTAAACCACACCAGCGCCTAAACTATTTGAGATTTGTTTTTTTTTTTTTTCAAAATAAATAATTCTCGGTCGATCTGGCCTCACTCAAAGTTCTGAGGTTTTGAAAAATATTTGTTAATTTTGGGGGAACTTTACATGAAGCCGCTGCAACATTTTCAAAATTCTTCAAAAATGGCTCCAAATTGTTTCTTTAAATTTCTTGTGAGAATATAGAGAAATATACTTATAAAGGTGGACTAGGTCCAATTTTCACTGTTAATTCTAAATTTTAGAGAATGCAAAAGATTTTTTCTGTGTCTTCCTACAACTGCAAAATTCAAAAGATAAGTTTTTCCTTCAAATTAAATTTGTTCTCCAGAATTAGTTCTTACATTAAGGTCAATTACATTTTTTCAAAAATTTAGTAAATTTCGCGCCACGTGGAGAGTAATATGTGCAATATTAAAAATTTTCAAAAACAAATAATGCAGCGAAAAATAAGTGATTTTTCAGTAGATAGAATCCTGATACTGAAAGATCGAATACTGATACTGAAAAAGTGGATAATATTCTTGTTCTTAGGAAAAGTATTCCCCCTAACACGTTGTTTACTCAGAATCCACGTTTTGTCCAAATGAACATAACCTTTTTTAAAACAGAGTTTTGAAACAGAATTTAAGACAAAAATCTCTATATTCAATATTGTAGTTTTGGAATGTTAACTTTTTCTAACTTCTTGCAATTTTAGAAATTACAGATAATTCGCTGAAAATTATATCAGCGCTACATTTTTACTTTCTCGCCACCGCTTACGCAGTAGAGAGTAAGTTATGTAATGCTGCGCGAAAATACTGGTAACTTTGGACAGAAAAAACTCGTATTACAGGGCACTGGGAACGAAAAAGTGGATACATCCAATTTTTAATTGTAGAAAAAAAATCTTCTAACACGTGGTGTAACCAGAACCAATGTTCTGTGGGTCCTAAATACCGAAATATCGAATGACGGCAAAATGCCCGTCCGTCTGAACAGCCGTTAGCGGCTATACCGTTCAGCTGATGTTATCCAAAATTGATATTCCCCAATCCATCTGGCTGATGTCGCGGCTCCTTATTTATGGATTCGATAGTTTAAAGTGGGAGGAAGGGGTTTTACATAAAGCCTCTGGGACATTTTTACTAAAAGAATCCATCGTTTTTATTAAATATTGTTGTTGGATAGTATGAAGGACGTTTAATTGAATGGTGTAGGACTCATGTTCGATAAAAACTTTGATTTTTCGAAAATTGTAAAAATTCGATTTCTTTCGATGTCTTCCTACAACTACGAATATGAAGATAGATATTTTTCGCTTAATGAAATCTGTTTCGTACAGATAAATTTTGAAATAGGGTCATGCACAATTTTTTCAGCATATCTTCATAGTGAACTAATGTCTATTGTTCTAGGTAGCCACATACACCGAGGTGACAAGTCACGGGATACCTCCTATTATTGTGTTGGACTTCCTTTTGTCAGGCGAAGTGCAGCAAATTCGACGAGGTATGGACTCAATAAATCGTAAAGCCTCCGCAGAAATATTAGGCCATGCCGCCTCCATAGCTGTCCATAATTGCTAAAGTGTTGTCAGTGTAAGATGTTATGCACGAACCGACCTCTCGATTATGTCCTACAAGCTGCACCGCCCCAGCCGGAACAAGCTCTAAGCTTCCCTCATGTGCGATAGTGTAGCGAATCCAAGTGTAAGTTTGAGTAAGTAAGGGGGTGAGGATGGGAAGAGGAAGGAAAGATCACGCGCGGTCTGTGGCCCGTTTGTAGTGTACAGCTCCAGGATTCGCCTTGTATTGAAACCACGCACGTAGAGAAATGTTTAGTTCATACAATTAATCATGTAGTAGATTCAACTAAGCGGTATAATACATTTTGAAGAACAAAGTGCTTAGTTCACGAAACTGCTGTTTAGTAAAACACACTAATACATGTATAGTTATGTTCACTAAACAGGTCGTACCCGTGACGAATGGCATATTGTGGAGATAACTAAACGAATCATTGCGTTGAATAATATATTGAGTAATATTCACCAAACACGTGGCAGTGAAACTAACGACACGAAACGTAAAAGGGAAACTTTCTTTTTCTTCAGCAACTGAGGTTCCGGAGCGGTCACACATCCTACGGCCCCGTGGTCTTAACCTCGGTTACCTGACTGACCCTAGCCCAGTAGAACAGTTACTTACGCAGGCTGCCGACATTTGGCTACCAATGGTAATTCTATCATAAGTTTAGAATATAAAACATTAATTATTTAAAATAAAAAAATACAAAACACGCCATTTATGTAGCGTGTAATTCTATAGAGAGCATTGAATTCTTGCACTTCACTTCTGAGTTCTATAACCTTTCGAATTGGTCAGATGGCTGAGAACGCACGCTTACTAAACAGTGTTTAGTAGTGTGACGACATGAAACGTAGATCTCACCGAATGATTTTATCTACGAAACAAGAATAGTATCTCTGATAATTCTCTTTGTTCATTCTCTTACGATTTTGAATTGACTGATTTACTAAACGAAACTAAATCATGTTTAGTGAATCTTACTACAGGAATAATTGTATTTACTACATGATCGCTTACTAAACTAAATGTTTCATTTCTATTACATTCTACTATAGCATTTCTCTCAGTGCGAAAAACAATTGTAGCAATTGTATTTTTTGACGTCCGTGTTGTACAAAAGTTTCAGATTAGGGAATCAACTGCAGGTCAAGCCATTAAAACTTAATGCTTGATTTTCGTTTTATGCACTCAGAAATTAAGCTCTCGTGGGCTGCATGTTGGTCTACTATAATTAGCCTGTCTCCAGCCTCAGCAATAATGTAAGTTGTGGGAAAAACATAGCAACCAGCCTCGTTATCAAATTCATTTTAATTGCAATTGTAAAGTGTGTGTGTGTGTGTGTGTGTGAGTGTGTGTGTGTGTGTGAGTGAGTGTGTGTGTGTGTGTGAGTGTGTGTGTGTGTGAGTGTGTGTGTGAGAGTGTGTGAGTGTGTGTGTGAGAGTGTGTGAGTGTGAGTGAGTGCGAGTGAGTGCGTGAGTGCGAGTGAGTGCGTGAGTGCGAGTGAGTGAGTGCGAGTGAGTGAGTGCGTGTGAGTGAGT